TTAATTTAAACAAATAAATCTCACTGACCCCAAACTTTTGAACAGTAGTGTATGTGTATCCATATTTTAAAAATGTGAAAATATTTTGTGATATTAAATGTTTGTTCAATGTTTTGTAGCATATGCCGGTATTTACCTTCTCTATAAGAAGACTAAATCTAATTTTGTCCCTCAAAAATCCCTTGTGACAACCTAGAAGAAATATGGATGCTAACATGCTTACTATTCGTCCTAAATCCATCTTTGTTTGGGTGCTAAAATGTTGGCTAACTGGCAGCAGCAGTACATCATTAGCTTCTCTTGGCTGTCCCATTTGCAACTCTGTTAGCGGGGGATAAATCTCTGAGTTATTGCTCCTCTAGGCCTCATGAATCAGTGAGCTCTCTATAGTGAGAATTAAAGTCTTTCTAATGGGCCGAGCTACTGCAACATATTGCCGTGTTTGCAATCACAATAGCTACCAAGGCTTGATCAAATTTTGCAAAACAAGTCATCGGAGGAAACACAAATATTAGAAAATAATCTGCCATAGGCAATTTGCTAACTTTGTCAGGAACCATGCTGTAACTGTAAAAAATCTTACTCTTAGATGGTTCAAGCCCATCTAGTTGGTCTCACAGACTAATATAACAGAGCAGAATCCCACTGAATACATAAACATGATTACACAATTTCAAACTGTCTCATTTATCTTTCCAAAGTGTGCACTTAATAGCTAGAGCCGCATAAAAGGATATTTAGTAAACATGTCAATGGGGAACATTTGTCACAGCCCTGTGTTTCCATCAACGCTTCCATCGTGACGGCAGTCACTTACACACACATAAATGCAGACAGCGTGGTCAATAATGCAACGCTGTTTCCACTGCTTAGGCAATGGACAAATTTGCTCTTGACAGATACAGGATGGAATAAGAAAGAGAACGGAGGTGTGTTTGTTATCGATGATTTCTAAAATGCCTCTAGCTGGCATTGATCGCACAAAAGAACTGTCCGTGTGAGAGTGTTTATGCATCGCGTGGTGCAGTTTGGCATCAAGCCTTTGACAGGTTGCCTCTTATCACTGACATATAGATAAATGTCTTCCACTACTTCATAACTTCTCGCTGTCCAGCCTGCTCACTCACCGCTGCTTTTTAAAGAGCAGCAAAATGTCATGAATCCCAATCCATAAGTATAATACATAGGCGCCATGTCATAGCATGCAGATTGTTTTGGAGTGCATATTGGTAATTTATGTTGTCGATTTGACATTGATTGATTTTTGCATGTCTAATAACGTTCAAGCTTTTATATACTATGACAAAAATAAATTTTCAGCAGCCATTACTCTATTCTTATGGAAGCTTGTTTTTTATGACAGGGAAATAAATAAATACATAAATAAAAAATGGTAATCCTGACTTTTTTTTCTCACAATTCAAACTTTTTTCTTGCAATTTTGAGAATTCAGATAAAAAAATAAATAAAAAATAGATAAATAAAAATAAACTAAATTGTGAGATATAAACTAAGAGTTGTGAAATGTAAACTGAATTACTAGAAAGCCCATCCAAATTGTTAGATAAAACATCGTAA